GCTCGACGAATCAACCAAGCGTGCCAATTACTTTGTCCTTCACAACCCAAGGCAGTTCTTCGTCGATGATAAGCCTCTTCGGTCGAGTCCTGGCAGGGTCGCCAATGTTACACACTCAAATCACCAGATTAATTAAACACAAGGTTGTATTTATTCGAAAACTCCGAGCACATGCTTTTCTGTTTTTTTTTTCGACACCCTTTGTGGTTCATGAACTCAACAAAACATGTCACGCACTCTACACACGTTTTTTAATACAGCTATAATAGGAATTTTTTAATCAATTATCTACATATGTAGACCGGGTGCTACATACGGCCGAAGAAGCAGTTTTATTCGAACCCTCCTCCTTGAAGGGTGCCTTGTATATCGAATGTATCAAGTTCAGTACTTCAAGAGTCATAAGCCGGGCTTTTGGGGATACAAAATAATAAAACAATCAACGAGTTATGCCAGGCCAATTTATCGAGAGTCAATTAAGTATAGTTTCACAAAATCGTATGGAAAGTTTAAAATGTGCTTCACTTGTGCTACATATACGGATTTATCGCTCTTAATTACTGATGAAATTCCGAGAGTCTGACTCAGTTAATTTAAAAGAAAATATCCAAGCGGGTTACAGTAATAGTTCACGAATTGTTAACTGATGTGTCCACAAAAATTAAATTAAACGTTCTTAATTACCGATGAAATTCCGAGATTGTACCTAAATGAATTTAACAGAAATATCTACGAAGGTTCCAGAAACGGACGCTTAAAAACTGCTCTTGAATTCGAAAACTGTAAACAACAATTAATAACGCTAACTGTCACAATTTTTCCATTTAAACTCTTTATTCAATAACGCAACAGCTACTACATGACAACATGGGCGAAATCAAAATGGCGGGTCCGATACCACGTTTTTTCCCACAGGTCCGATGGGAGCGCGTGGTATGACGTAATATGACATCCCCCTTTCTACCGATGTAATAATAATAATAACGACAAAAAAAAAAAAAAAAAAAATGGAACTTATCATATCTCCAGAACATTACAATACTGGTTGAAAGGATATCCCTCCTGTGCTTATACTTATAAGTCTATTCTTTAGTGTCTCTACTGTTATAGATCCAGCCTTTGTGCAGGTGTCACAGTCCTCCCAGATCTGGTCACATATCCTCCAGCTATGTCTGAGGGTCCCTGGGGGATGTTGTTCAGTGGCACTGTTTCGCCAGATCCTGGTCTGGGGGCTGCACCGTTTTTGTGCGATGTCTGTGTGTGACTGACTGGGGCAAGACTAGTTGTCTGCTGAGGTATCTCAGAACCTTGGTATACTGGGGTTTCCACCCGCTGGCATTGTGTTCCCCTCACTGCAGTTGTGTCTGGTTTCAGTTGGGCCTGTGTTCTTCGATAGGTGGTACCTGTACTGCTGGATCTGATGATGTAAGATCTTGGCTGTTTGGCGGGTTTTACAATAATGCCAGGTTCCCAGGTTTGTGAGTGGTGGTTGTACGTGCGGATGGGTTGGTCAGCTTCGAATGGCTTTTTGGGTGGTCCTGAATGCTGGTTGTAATAGTGGGCTTGTTTCTCCTGACGGGCTATGAGCTTACTTTTCATGACCTCATGGTGAGAGTGGTTGAGGAGGACTCTATGGCATGCTGGTAATCTAGTTTTAAATTTTCTGTTGGTGAGCAGTTCTGCTGGGGATTTCAGCTGGTGATCCAAGGGAGTGGCCCGGTATGATAGGAGAGCAAGGTACGGGTCCTCTTTATTTTCATCGCACTTTTGGAGAATGTTTTCCACGGTCTGGACCATTCGCTCAGCAAACCCGTTGGATTGGGGGTATAGGGGGGAGCTAGTAATGTGTTCTACCCCGTAGACGTTCATAAAATGCTTGAATTCTGCCGAACTGTACTGCGGTCCGTTGTCGGTCGTCAACTGCGTAGGGATGCCGTGTTCTGCAAAGATGCTCTTCAGATGGTTGATAACTGCAGATGACGTGGTGCTTGTTAGTCTCCTGATGACAGGAAATCTGCTGTATTGATCTGTCAACAGGAGGTATTGCTGCCCTCTAAATTCGAACAAGTCCGAACTGAGTCTTTCCCATGGTCGGTGTGGCGGTTCTGGCTGTAGTATTGGCTCTTTCCTTGCTTTATTTTGGTATTTCTGGCAGGGTTCGCACTGGTTAACTTGGTTGATGATTTCCTTTGTAATTCCAGGCCAGAAAACGGATGTACGTGCTCGTAAAAGGCATTTCTCTTGCCCTAGGTGGCCTTGGTGTATGATGTTCAGGATTTCAGGTCTGAGAGTAGGAGGTATCACGATGCGGTCTCCTTTTAGTACTAAGCCGTCCTCGATGGTCAGCTCTTCTCTGAAATTCCAATAGCCATGTAGCAGTTGGGGGCACTCTTCTCTTTTCTGTGGCCATCCTTCAAAGACCATTTCTTTTAACAGAGACAACACAGGATCCCTCCCTGTTTCGTCACGGATCTGTTGTAGCTTTGTTGGAGTTGCAGGGAGATGTTGTGTGACGTGGTGGACATATATCTCTGAAAGTTGACTGCTGCTAGGGGTAGGCTGGGGGCTGACTCTTGAGAGAGCGTCGGCTATTGGTACATCAGGACCTTTTACGTAGTTGACCGTAACGTCGTATTTCAGGGCTCTCATCAAGAACCTCTGTAATCTAGGTGGGCAACTGGACAGTCGCTTCTTGAAAATCGCCTCAAGAGGTTTATGGTCAGTGTTTACTGTACAGTGCTTCCCAAAAATGTAGTAGTTAAATCTCTCTAGGCCCCATACTACACCAAGTGTTTCTCTCTCAATGTTGCTGTAGTTTTTTTCTGTGTCTGTAAGTGCTTTGGAGGCATAGCATACAGGTTGCCCCTGCTGCAAAAGGACGGCGCCTACTCCCTTCTGGGAAGCGTCAGTTTGAATGACAGACTCGATGTTTGGGTCAAAGTATCTGAGGACTCCCATTGATGTGATTTCCTGTTTGACTTGGTTGAATGAGTCGTCGTGTTCAGGTCCCCATACATATGCGGTGTCCTTCTTGGTAAGTTCTCGCAGTGGTGCTGTGAGGCTAGCCAATCGCCCTGAGTATCTTGTAAGGTAGTTTACGAGGCCTAAGAAGCTTTGGAGGTCTTTGCGGTTCTCAGGTGGGGTCATCTTCTGGATTGCAGATATCTTACTGTCATCTGGTTTGATTCCATCCTGGGTCCATTTGTGGCCGAAAAAGCTGACTTCCTGACATTTGAGCTGTACTTTGTCTTTGTTGAATTTGATTCCCCTTTCCTGGATCTGATCATGAGGTTTACCATGTTCGCATCGTGCTCTTCCTCTGTAGCTCCGTATATGAATGTATCGTCTGCAATGCCGGTGACTCCTTTCAGGCCCTCCAGTGCTGAATCTAAGTGTTTCTGGAACACATCTTGTGATACAATAAGGCCAAAGGGGAGCCGGGTGAAACGGTATCTCCCGAACGGGGTGTTGAAAGTAGTCAGGTAGGAGCTGGCTTCGTCTAATGGTACATGCCAGTAGCCCTTTTTTTGGCATCAACTACACTAAAGAATTTGGCACCACTAAGCTGTGTGACTACCTCATCAATTGTTTTGGTGTAGTAGTGTTCGCGTTTTATTGCCTTATTTAGGTCACGTGGATCGAGGCAGACTCTGATTTTGGTGACTTCTCCTTTGCCGTTGGTTGTTTCAGAGAGGACGATGCTATTAACCCAGTCTGTGGGTTCGCTTACGGGTATGAGCACTCCAAGTTCTACCATGGTGTTGATTTCCTTTCTAAACATGTCTCGAAGGTGTACTGGTACGGTACGTGGTGCGTGGATGACAGGTTCAGCATTGGAGTCTAGGGTGATGTGATAAGGTTTCATATTGAAGGTTCCCAGGCCTTCAAAGCAGTCTCCGAAGTTGTTGAAGAAGGTTATCCTGTCCAGTGGGGGTATGTTTCAGTGTCTAGACGGCTAGGGTATCTGCTGGTCCTTTGGTGCGGTTTGCATGGTCTGTGTTCTTTAAGGCGGGTCTCTTTGTCTTCTTTGGAGGTTTCTAGGCTGCAATTAAATTTTACCAGCTCAAGTTCCTCGCAGGTTTTACAGCCAAGCATTGTAGGTCCTGGTACGTCAGTAACATTGAAAACGACTTCTTTAATGCTGCCATTTTGATGGACGTATAGTGGACAGGTTCCAAGGGTCTTGATGGCGTGGCCTCCATACGCAGTAATCCTGTGGTGTGTTGGGCCAAGGGGTATCTGCTGGGAACTGCGGTTGAGTCTGTCATAGTCGTCTTTGGAGATGACATTAACTTCTGCACCAGTGTCGACCTTGCAGATAATAGGTATCAGGTGTGTATCATGGGGGTCTACCGTGACTTGTATTTCAGTCGTGACTTTGGTGCGTTGTTTTTCTTTTTGTTCAATGCTTGCGATCATTGAGGTACTGGGGCTGTCTCGGGCTTCTAGTGTTCCCAGGAAGACTTTGTCGTAGCTTGTGCATTCACTTGTTACACCATCAGGTTGTTCTTTTTGTAGGGTCATCACATCTGACCTTGTTTTAGACTTGCAAACTTTGCTAAAATGACCGCGTTTGTTGCAGTTGAAGCATTCTACTCCAGTGGCTGGGCACTGCTGGTCTTTGGTGTGTGGTGTGTCTCCACATCTGTAGCACTGTCTTAGGTTGTTGTCACGTCGTCTGTTTCCTCTACCACTGGTGTACCTTTGGTGGGGCTGGTTTCTGGGCTTGTTTCCTCTGCTGATTGCATTGACTTCCCCTTCTTCTTGCTTTGGGTTTGTAGTGTCACTCATTGCTTTTAATTGCATCTGGGTAGCCTCATCAGTTCGTGCAATTTCTTTTGCCCTTGCAAAGGTTAATTCATTACCGCGGGCAATGCATTTTCGTCTGACCTCTTCCGAATCGGTGCCGAAAACTAATGTGTCACGCATGAGTTCGTCATGTAAGTCAGGTGGGTAACCTGAGCTCTGTATGAGTAGCCTTGCTTCAGTCAGGAAGGTGGCTAGGGACGATTATTCTGTTTCAGACCTCGTAGATAATATCTGTTCAAGATATGGTTTGCTTGTGGTTTAACATGGTCTTCGAATCTTTTCCAGTATTCTTTCAGGTCTTTTTGTTGGTCTTCGGTTAGCGACCAAGTGTTAAATAAGTCTATTCCGTAATCGCCTGACCATAGTAGCACATATTTGCATTTTTGAGTGCCGTCTCGAGCTTTTAACGGTCCATCAAGTAGCAGTTCACACTTTTGGCGGAATCTCTTGAATCTAGTTAATAAATCTGGGCCAGGGGTCCAGTCCATTTTTGGTACTTCAAACCCAACCAAGTCGCTCATTTTTGGCTAAATTGCACGATAAGACAGGACTTTGTAGTAAACACTGTAAAATCGTACGTACCGGTTTTCTTGGTTGTTCTAGCGGTGAGAATTCCTCTATTGGTGTAAATCTATCCCACTTCCGACATCCATGTCACAATTTTTCCATTTAAACTCTTTATTCAATAACGCAACAGCTACTACATGACAACATGGGCGAAATCAAAATGGCGGGTCCGATACCACGTTTTTTCCCACAGGTCCGATGGGAGCGCGTGGTATGACGTAATATGACACTAACCATGTGCTTACCAGCGTGCTTTTATGCTCAAATTGCCAGGATCCCGTTTAATTACACGATCACAGCTCGGACGCGTCTTGCAAGATTGATTCCTCAGTTTCCAGCATTAGGAAAAAATTATCGTATCGCTAGCATGTTGATCATAACCCGAGCATTAAGTACGCCTCGAGATGTTGAGCGAAGAGAAAGAGGCTCCATGTTTTGAGAGACAAACCATTTCTTGAAGTTCGAACGAATCGAGTAGAAAGCATCAAAACATAGCGCTGAAAAGTACCGTGACCAAACAATGAAATTCACTCCTCCCGCAGTAGGATCATCACCATTTCATCCGTGAGTTGTTTGCACAACGCATTTGCGCTCGGTAATTTAATTCTCAGATGTTTGACGGGTTCTCACATGACAATATTGTCAAAATCAAATTACCGCTTCAGACTTTATGTAAACATGAACATCAGTGACTCTACCCCATTACATTTCAATTTTGGAAAAGGCTATTACTTCTTTCTTTAGATGAAACAACAAATCTTCGACAAAGCGCGATTTTTTTAAAAGAATAATGTAAAACCTGCGATAGCTAACTGAAGAGAGAATGATATAAACTTGCTAACGCCGTACGCTATCATTTGAAAACTTTCTAGCCAAAACATAATCCATAAGATAACTTCTTCTCCCTTATCACCACGACTTTATAAAAAATTCCAAAAGATAGGACAAGATATAACTTGAAGAATACGAACACTTTGAAATGTTATTCGAGCGATGCACCGGCGCGAGGGTTTTAAAGCGATGAATGCAAAAGTCGTTGTTTTGCTGAAACGTGATTTGAAATATAAACTGAAGCTAGTATCAAACGAAGATTAGGGAAAAAAGGTTTGAATTTTTCTGAGCCTTAGCATAAGAGGAAACGCAGATAAGACACGACTTACCTCCTCTACTTTCGCGGATCCTTTGTGGTTCGCTTCCCTTTGTTGATGACCCCTTTTCAGTTTCTTTTCTGAATCTCTTCGTATTTCCTTCTCACGTTGCTCCTCGCTAGATGTTCACCTTTTTACTTATGCCTTTTCTTGTTCCCTTCCGCGTTCCTCTCGCCTTATTCTGCCTATTTTAGCGTCTTCTCTAACTTTCTTGTGCGTTTTTCTCGACTCGCTTTACGCCTTTTACTTCTTGCTTTCTTTGATTGCTATCTCTTTCTTTCCAGCCTATTTCACTCAAAACCCTTTCTCCACGAACTTGAATTAAAACAATTTCCTCCGCTTGACAAAGCTTTT